CTGTAACCGTTGGAGCTGATTAGTTATGAGTTAGTAAGCCTGTGAACTAACATGGGACCTGCCAGATGTATTGTGAAAGCAGTTCTGAATTTAGTATGAATACTAGATTAGGTACTAAGGTGCTATGCAGCTGTAAAACTCTTTGATGCTGCTATGTTTTCAGTATAGAGAAAATTTCTCCAAATGCAGCACTTGAATAGTAGATGTAACAATAAAGTTTTTATGCTAAGCCATAATAAAAAATTGGGCTTCCCTGGTGGCTCACATGGTAAAGAATCCGCCTGGAAATGCAGGAGACCTAGGTTGGAAAGATCCCCTGAAAGGAATTGATACCCACTCCAGTGTTCTTGCCTGAAGAAGTCCATGGACAGAGAAGCCTGGCCGGCTACAGTTCATGGGTCACAAAGAGTTGAACACAACTGAACCACTAACACCTTCAGTTTAATGGCAAAAACTTAAACTTGAGATCTATGTTAAGATTCCCAGGGCATTATGTACTTCTTTTTACTGAGCCATTTATGTGTCAGATCTAGACCAAGAGATTTATATACATTATCTCATTTAATCCTAACAGTTTTATGAACTGAATATTACTAATCATCTTTTTCATATGCCATTGAAATTCAGAAAAGTTTAACTAGTCAAAGTTTATACTGTCAATAAAAAGCAGAGTATCATGTTATTTTGACTAACCCTCAAACCTTATGAATTCTACAGGTGTCATGGGCCAAATTTGAAATTGTTCTTTATTGATATTAGGGATCATTGTGAGTGATTTTTTTTTTTTTCAGAATTTTTAGAATACTTTGTATCAGGCACCCAACAGAACAGTGTTCATGTTTAGGTTTTCTAATAGTCATTCAACTAATGACAACAAAAAAACAAACTTGTGTCTGTTGCTGGCAAGTATGTTTTTCTTACTAATGCTTTCTAAGGAGGTTTTGTACCTTTTGGGGCCTACTGCTGCTATTATCCTGTGTAAGAGAATTGCGTCATTTTCTGTGGCCGCTCTGACACTTTTTTCTTGTTTGTTTTTTGACAGATCACATTAATTCTGAATGCAGATGTGTAGTAGCAAAGAGAATGCTGCAGCTAGTGGTGTTTATTGAGCACTTGCCCAGTTGCAGATGATAATACTAGTCATTCAGTTCAGTCGCTCAGTCGTGTCTGACTCTGCAACCCCATGGACTGTAGCACACCAGGCTTCCCTCTCCATCACCAACTCCCGGAGCTTGCTCAAACTCATGTCCATTGAGTCGGTGATGCCATCTCATCCTCTGTCATCCCCTTCTCCTCCTGCCCCCAATCCCTCCCAGCATCAGGGTCTTTTCAGATGAGTCAGTTCTTCGCATCAGGTGGCCAAAGTTTTGGAGTTATAGCTTCAGTGTCAGTCCTTCCAGTAACACTCAGGACTGATTTCCTTTAGGATGGACTGGTTGGATCTCTTTGCAGTTCAAGGGACTCTCAAGAGTCTTCTCCAACACCACAGTTCAAAAGCATCAATTCTTAGGCACTCAGCTTTCTTTATAGTCCAACTCTCACATCCATACATGACTACTGGAAAAACCATAGCCTTGACTAGACGGACCTTTGTTGGCACTGTAATATCTCTGCTTTTTAATATGCTGTCTAGGTTGGTCATAAATTTTCTGCTATGGAGCAAGTGTCTTTTAATTTAATTGCTGCAGTCACCATCTGCAGTGATTTTGGAGTCCAAGAAAAGAAAGTCTCACTGTTTCCATTATTTCTCCATCTATTTGTCATGAATTGATGGGCCCAGATGCCATAATCTTAGGTTTTTCAATGTTAAGTTTTAAGCCAGCCTTTTCACTCTTCCACTTTCACTTTTGGGCTTCCCTTGTGGCTCAGCTGGTAAAGAATCTGCCTACAATGTGGGAGACCTGGGTTTGATCCCTGGGTTGGGAAGATTCCCTGGAAGAAGGAAAGGCTACCCACTCCAGTATTCTGGCCTGGAGAATTTCATGGACAGAGGAGCCTGGCAGGCTACAGTCCATGAGGTTGCAAAGAGTCGGATATGACTGAGCAATTTTCACTTTCATCAAGAGTTAGGGTCCTCTAGGGTCCTCTTCGCTTTCTGCCATAAGGGTGATGTCATCTGTATATCTGAGATTATTGATATTTCTCCTGGCAGTCATGGTTCCAGTTTGTGCTTTATCCAGCCTGGCATTTCACATGATGTAATACTAGTCAGGCCATATGAAAAAAACTATAGCATTAAAAGTTTAATTTCTGGCATTTGTCCTGGTGTTCCTTTGTGTTGCCCCCTTTTCTGTGCCACATTGAAATATTTGGTATACTGTAATTAGTTGTATCTTTGTTCCCTTCTTACTCATCTTCATGGTTTTGATTCTGTAACCTCTCAATTTCTAGCAGGACCTCTGCTTTTTCAAGATCCATATTCCAGTCTGCTGTAATCTCTGCCTGGATTTTAGTTAGGCATCCCAAGTTAAATTCAGTATGTCTCATGTTATCCCTGAACCAATACTATATATAGAGAGAGAGAGATTAGCACAGATGCCTACTTGATACTCTGCCTGCATTCTCCATCATAGTTAATGGTCTTTGCGTGTATTTACAGCAAGCAGCATTGTATAAGGAGAAGACTATATGGTTTTTCCAGTAGTCAGGTATGGATTTGAGAGTTGGACTATAAAGAAAGCTTAGTGCCTAAGAATTGATGCTTTTGAACTGTGGTGTTGGAGAAGACTCTTGAGAGTCCCTTGAACTGCAAGGAGATCCAACCAGTCCATCCTAAAGGAGATCGGTCCTGAGTATTCATTGGAAGGACTGATGTTGAAGCAACAAACTCTAGTCCAGGCACATTCTCTGGGAATCATTTGAAAGCAGATTTAATCCCTTTGGGTATCAGCTCAAAACAGCTTTGACAATCTGTTGATCATTAATATGATTAAATAAGATGATGCACTTAGTGTTGATTCCTTCCTCTTTCCTTGAGTTGTGCCGCATTTAGTGGAATAAATACCCTTCCTCTGTCTGTCTCTTAAATGGTAGCACTTGAATGCTCTCTTACTGTTTTATTGCCTGATTGATAGTTATACTGCTATATGGTATAGTCTGTAATTTTTTAAGATAAATGATTTAAAAATAAACTGTAGAGTATTTCATCAGAAGACAACACTAATCTGTCTTGTCTCCTCAGTTGGCTGGGATTTTTTTGTGGGTTTTTTTTTTTTTTTTTTTTTAATATGGGGAGTTCCTTACTGTAGAAATAATCAAGAATGTGGGACATTAAATGAATATTTGTGCTGGCTTAGGCTTCAGAGAAGTATGATTCTCTAAGCTTTTAATGGCCAGAAAAGTAGTTCTTGCTATTGCTCATTCTTAAGATTGTGTATAAACTTTTTTGTATCCTGTTTTTCTGCTTTAAGATCCAGAAGAGGAAATAGAGCTGTAGTAATAAATAACTGTCTTAATAACTTTAATAACTTAGAAATGAGCAGAATATGCCCTTTTATAAAATGTGTGCTGCATATATTTTTCAGTTTGTATTGGAGTTGAAATACTTTAAATCGTTTCTTAGTTTCTCACTGGTTTATATAGTTTTAAAGATTACTGTCTCTAGTTGTTTTTCAATTAGTGAGCATTTATTTTCACAGAGAATTTTTATTGTTTTGGAAATAAAGAATCATGACCTTATTTAATTAGATAATGCCTTTTTAAAAAAATCAGTCTCTCTGTTAGTATCTTTGTTTTTCCCATTCTCTGTATTTTAGTATTGTTGTTCTTGTTCAGTCCTAAGTCATGTCCAGCTCTTTGTGACCCCATGAGCTGCAGCATGCCAGGCTTCCCTGTCCTTCACTGTCTCCTGGGGTTTACTCAAATTCATCTTAGCATCATTTATCAAAAAATTCTACTTTTCTCTGCTTAAACAGAGTACGTTTTTGGTTCTTATTTGATCATATCTTGCATTGCATACTTTTTAAAAAAATTAATGTTACCACTATCTGTAGTCCCATTGTGTCTGTAGTTTTGAAAAGCTGCAAAAATTCTGTTGCCAGAGTATTTTGTTCACAGGTAGGGCTATTTATTCTGAAAAAGGAGACTTTTGTTCTTCAGGGTAGCTTCTTAGTAGGTGTCCGGTAAAGATGGTCTATGTCTTAGGGGTTCCATATTTGAAATTCCAGTATTAGTTGGAGAGAAATGGAAATATGATTCATGTAAGATTGATAATGCTTAGAAAGCCCTGAAATTTATTTCAAAATGTATTTTTAGAAGATATGTATGCCTATGGTTGAAACAAAAACAAGATTTTAAGAAACTAGATATAAGCTGCTTCTTAATGTCAGAATTTTATCTTTATGACTCTTATGGGCTCTCATTATATCTTGGTTGGGCTTAAACTTTAGGGAAAAGGAGTGTGCCTGTGTGGTTTCATCTCCTGGGATTCCCTGATTGTTGGATTTACTTTGGTGAAATTTGTTAAATATGGTGTCATTTTTATTCCTGACTAATCAAGAAATTGTGAATTCAAGTTTTTTTTTTTTTTTCAAGTTTTATAATAGTATGTTAAATGTCTTACCTGATGTAATATATGTATATCTCCAAATGAACATCAGAATTATTTGAAGTCCTCCAAAATCTCAGTGAGGTTTGAATTTGAAATATTAAATATTGAGTCATAGTATTGCCATTTTCAGTATAGGAACATGGTGTGTTTGTTTCCATTCAGATCAGTTTTGAGTTCTTCAGTAGGGTTTTATAAATTTTCTGTTACAGATATTTTGACATTTACCTTTTCCTCCTTTTTTGCTGATTTTAGCATAATCTTTTCCCATTCTGTTTTCAAAGTGGTGATGCTAGTATGTAAGAAAGCTCTTGGTTTTTCTTTACCAGACAAATTATTAAACCTAGTTTCAGAAATTTTTTTATTCTTTTAGTTACCAAATATATTTGTCGAAATGAAGGGTAAACCTCTAATTTTACTTTCAATTAAAACTTTTTTCCTTTTTTTTTTAAAGCTCTTTTCACTTATGGATATGAAACCTCCCATCTCTCGAGCCAAGATGATTCTCATCACAAAAGCTGCTATTAAAGCTATAAAGGTAAAAGTAAAAGAAATATATTAATTTGGACAGTGTTTTTAAAATGTTGAAAATGTTATTGTTAAATTTGAGGTTTCATATTGTGAAGTAATTCAGGCCTAATCAAAGAGCACTAACCAGGTTTTGCTGAAAGTACATAATAATAACTGTATGATGCATCTACATTGTAACATATTTCAAAACCTGTTTTGTTGTATTTCCTCTTTATATTCTTATAACTTTATTGAGGTATAGTTGACAGATTTAGTAGTATGTAATAGAACATAATTTGATGCACATGTACGTTGTGAAATGATTACCTTACACTAATTGACACATCCATCACCTCACATAATTACCTGGTTTATGTGTGGTGCTAAAAAAACGTTGAACTCATTGAAGTAAGGAACAGGATGACAGAGGTTTTTGTTGTTGTTGTTTGTTTTATTCCATTTAATTCTTACCATAATAGATCAGTGGCGTATTAGCTTTATTTTTATTTAAATACTTCATGAAATTGAATATCTTACCCAAGATCACACTTTAAAGAAGTGAGTCTCTTTAAAAACTGCATTATTTAGTTCCATTTCCATTGTTCTCTCTCCCATAAGGTCACTTGATAAACTGTTCTATGAAGATTTATTGATTAAACATCTAAGATGATAACCTTTTGGTGGATTTTTGTAGTTTCTGTTTTAGTTAATAGTTTCTTTCTGATTTGTTAAGAATTTTTTGAGTTGTTGAGTATGGATTATTTACCAGGGTTCTTTCAGTTATTACCTTGAGAATTATTCAAACTGTACAAATTTTGAGGTTTTAGGTATTTTCTAATTATAGGAAATGTATTAACAGAAAAGTGTGTTAGCTGGATAATGATATTCTTTTCGTTCTCTTCAGCTTTATAAGCATGTGGTTCAAATAGTAGAAAAGTTCATCAAAAAGGTAACTATCCATTTTATTATTACCTCATTTTAGTTATGATCAGTATTTGTAATTTACTTTGTGAGTTGTAATTTGAATAATTGCTTCTAAAGTCACTCTACAGAAAAGTTGTCACTAGAAGTCTTGGTTTTTTGTGTCATAACAAAACAAAAATGTATAGCAGTACTGTTGATTGAGTACTTACTATGAATCAGGATTTGAAATAGTTCTCGTCTGCTTGAGCCTTCTCTCCCCATTGCCCTGACTACTCTGTTGACATTTAACTCATCTTGGAGTACTTCAAATGAAATCACTCTGGTGTTTTCAACTTCCCTTTCTCCCATCATAATTAAGCCACCTTTCACTTCTACAGTTACATGTTGTTTTGTAACATATGTAACATTATCTCACATCTGTGTCAGTAAAGGGCTGAGAAAGGAGACTTAGACATCTTTGTCTTCTACCCCAACCTAGAGCTGTTCCTTTTTTTTTAAACTTTTTGGGCCATGCCACGTGGCTAGTGGAATCTTAGTTCCCCAACCAGGGATCAAACCGTGCCCCTTGCATTGGAAATATGGAGTCTGTTTTCCTTAGTATAAATTTCTAGAAATAGGGTTGTTGGATCAAATAAGGCTTTGTGTTTATTGCTAACTTATTTTTCATAAAGGTTGTGCCACCAGAAATGTATGCAGGTGCCTGTCTATTTTATCTTGTCAACTTTTAAGACCAAGAATGACTTCTCCTTTTGGGTTTTGTTTCTCTGATACTGTACTTTAATAGAATCGAAGTTAATATTTTGGTTAAAATTGGCTTTTTGATAATTTTAAAAGTTAAAATTTATTTTTTTGAGCAGGGTGAATGAGAGTGGATTTTTCCATAATCAGTAGATCTGTATGGAGGTGGCTTAAGAATTGATAAAGTGATGCTGATTCTAGGAAGTTGGAGGAGGGGAGGAGAGAGGGATCAGAAAAAAGTAAAATGTTGGGAGTCTGAAACATCAAGAGAATGGTAGTTCTCTGCAGACCTGTGGGAAGCTTGACAGGCTAGCCAGTAAGAGAATTCAAAACATTTAAGTAGTTACTTAATTACTTAAATCAATAACTTAAGTAGTTATTTCTATAGAAATAACCTTGGATATATAGTTTCATAAGAGATTAATGGGTGTCAAATTGTGATTTGCTTTTCTTGTATCGACTTTACATCTTTAATCTTTGTAGTGTAAACCAGAATACAAGGTTCCAGGATTATATGTAATCGACTCAATTGTGCGACAGTCTCGTCATCAGTTTGGAACTGATAAAGATGTTTTTGGGCCAAGATTCTCTAAAAACATAACTGCCACATTCCAATATCTGTATCTTTGTCCATCTGAAGATAAGGTATAGTTTATAATTTTTAAATTAAACTTGTATTCTTACTCTGTTCTTATATGTATATTAGGTATTTGAAAGGTAATGACAGTGATCTCTGTGAACTTGAAACAAAACCCAGTTTTTTTCTGTAGTAATCATATCTGTTTTCTTGTGAAGTCCTTTAGAAATGTTGTACTGTTGAAATACAAAAAGAGCATCATCTTGCTTTAAAGAAAACGTTACTAGAAAAATTTCTTGTGACTGAATGGTAAAGAAATTCTGCAGTAGAGGAGGACAGTGCTTATCTCAAGTTGTTGTTTATTCCAAAAGGAATGGACCAATCATTGACTTTTCCCATCATATAGAGATGTTGAAGTATAAATGATATTCATTAGCAATTAGACTACTGTATTTAATTCCTCACATTTATAGCTGGTTTTACTCTGTACTATAAAAAGATAGAAAAACATAGACAAAAAACTAGCCTCTAATAGATAGGAGAAATACTGGTAAACTCAGAATAACGAAGACTAGATCCTGTATAATAAATGACATAAATTTGCATGTTATGGATTCTCTATATTCTTGGAGGAATGCTCTTGTGGGAAAGATGTACAAGAGAAAAGATCATTCCTTGAGTAGGAGATAAGAGTTGCAATCATGAATAACACAGTTTCTCTGGATCTCCTTCAAATTTGGTAGCCCACAAAACAACTTACCTAGCAATTAGAGGCTAGTTAATTGTGTTATATATTTTAACTATTAAAATCATCCTGGAAAGTTCTTCATTTTACTCTTCTTAGATAACTGCATTTTTTGGTTTCTTTGTAATCATAAATATGAAAATTTCAAGTAATTCTAATGCATTTCTTTTGATTCTCTCAGTTAATTTTTTATTTTTTTCCTCTCCCTGTTTCTTACCCTGGATTACACTACTGAAGGAAGGCCAGTTAGAGCAGTTTAATGAGGCTGTAATTCTGATGATAGATTGTTTTCTATTTACGAAACAGATATAGCATGGAAATGTTAGCCTGTGGTGTTTTGTTCTCTCTTTTCATAAGAAGTATAATTATTTATGCTAATACTTACTGTATATTCATGTTTTTTCACATAACAGAGTAAAATAGTTCGTGTATTGAACCTTTGGCAAAAAAATGGAGTATTCAAAATTGAAATTATTCAGCCTCTTTTGGACATGGCAGCAGGAACCAGTAATGCTGCTCCAGTAACAGAAAATGTTACTAATAATGAAGGTAAGGTCAGGTGTGTCTGTGGGCTTAGTTGTATCATTTTTTGTGCATGAAATGTTTGAAATATGTTTATAGTGATGGAATTTTTCTGTAAGAAGGAAACTTGAGTTTACATCTTGGAAGATAAAGTTTTCTTCCCATCATTATTTCTAATAAAAGTATTCAGTGCTTCTTGCAGTATAGGCTGTAATACCATAATCTATACTTTTTACTGTATGTTAAACTGAATGGAGTATTGTTTTAGTAAAGAAGCTTAATGGAGTTTAAAGGAAATATGTATGAGTTAAAAGTTTTCTGAGGCCTTAATGATCTTTTCTTTTTTAGGTTCACCTCCACCTCCAGTTAAAGTTGCTTCTGAACCCCCACAAGCCACTGCGAACTCTGTACCAAGCGTACCACAGTTGCCCAGCTCTGATGCTTTTGCTGCTGTGGCCCAACTGTTTCAGACAACTCAAGGTCAACAGGTAAACTGTCTATCCAAAGATTAAATAGTTTGAAGTTAGGTACTATTGTCAGTTCTTATTTTACATTCCTGGTTAACGAGCACATTGTGAGGAGGGAATATTTCTACTGGAAAAGCCTTTGCGAGGAAGGTAAATTCACAAGGATAATAGGGGAAATGTGGGAAAGGTGAGCGCGGGAGCAGCACACTGAGGAATGATGTGCCCTTTGGAGAGAACTGCAGAGCTCTAAGGGTGGTGAAGTTGCTCACAGTGCTAGTTACAAAATTATGTGGATTAATGGAGATGGTTTTTTTGCACTTTTTCAGAAAACATATATACATTGTTCACAATTCAGTGTATTTTCTCTTCTCTCTGACCATCACTGTCTACCATTGAAGTCATCAGCATATACTTTTAACCTTAAGTGACACACATTATATCCCTGATACATTCATTCACGATAAACTTAACCATTACAAAAAGGTTGGTTCCTTTTTCCAAGTTCCTCCATGCCTATGCTATTTTGATTCACCATTAAGATTTTTTTAGTGAATTAACTTTTGATTCTATGATTATCCTTTGTTGTGTGGTTTATCAGTTTTCCCATTCTTTAAGCTTCAGCAGATCCTTCAGACTTTTCAACAGCCTCCAAAACCACAGTCTCCCGCCATTGACAATGCTGTGATGGCTCAGGTTCAGGCTATCACAGCTCAGTTAAAGACAGCTCCTACACAACCACCTGAACAAAAAGCTGCTTTCCCCCCACCTGAACAAAAAACTGCATTTGACAAGGTATGCTTCTCTCACATAACCCACCCCATTGTTTCTATCACTCTGTAGAAGTTAACCCTTTTCTGACTTAACTGGATTGTTCATTTAGTTATTTGAGGGATTTTCCCCCTTGACATCAAAACATTGATTCTTATTCTTGGTTATAAATGTAATATATACTCATTGCAAAATTTTCAATATAAGAGAAAAGTAAACAGTATAAAGGAAACAGAACATTCACCATTAACCCCCTTACTCAAGGATAACTACTGTAACATTCTGCTGTATATCTTTTCAGAATTGATTTCCTGTGGATATAGTCTTTTCTTTTTTGATCATTATGTATCTGTGTGTTTGTGTGTATGTGTGTGTATATACATATATAAAAATAGGTATTTTAATCTATATACATAAATATTTATACACATTGTTTCTAACTGGCTTATCTTTCATCTTAATCCTCACGTCTCTGGGTTGTTGTTAAGGTTAATAGATGTAAATCTACATATGTACTGAGTGCTCATTAGGATTATTCTATTACATGGACACATCAGTTTAACCATTTCCCCTGTTGAAAGACATTTAAGTTACTTTCTGTTTTCCGTTGTTGAAAACATTAGTCACCTTATCTATGATGTGAGAGTTTGGGTTGCTTTAGTGTCTTCAGACTTCTCTCTTGGGCCTTAGTTATGTTTAAGGAGCTCCTACTAAGGGTATAGATGTGTTGAAAATGCACAGTTCAGAGCTTCCTGTTGAAACGTTAGCCTAAACAACTCCACTCTTAACTGTTTGTGTCTTATCTATATACGACTATATAAAATTTAATTTCATTTTACTAGTTGCAGTACAAAAAAAACACGGAGGTTTGATAATTCTAGAAAGAACTATCTTTTAATTTAATCATCTCTAAAATATGTTTCTTTCTAGCATTCTAAAATACAGTAACTACTGCTAGCAGTTAATATTAAGAATCCATATGGAAATTACTGCTTGCTATTCTATCTATATGATTTATGAGTGACTACTAATTAAAAGAAGGTTGAAAAAAAAATAAGGTTGGATTAAAATTTTTGAGTACAAAATAAGTACATACTTTTAGGGGGAAAAAATGAAGATAATACAGAAAGTTCTGAAGTGAAAAAGGAAATCAGTCCCACTGATTTGTATATGGTTTTTCAGACCTGTTTCCTCTGCATATATGAACATAGATTGTTAAGTGCTGTGGTTTTGTTTTTTAGTCTTCTGTTCTGTGTTGTGATTAGAAAAATTCTCCCCACTTGTATTAAAATTCTCTATTTCTTTTAGTAGTTTTATATTTCTGTTTTTTATATTTGTCTCAATGTATCAAGAACTGACATTAGCATATAGTTCAAGATTGTTAAACCTTTATATTTTTGGAAATAGCCAATTCTCCCTCACAATTTTTGTCATACATTTTTTTCTATGTCTGTCTCTAGATACCATTTTGTCCCACTAATATCTGTGTGTGTTTTGGCATCATAGCAGTTTAAACACTTGCAACTTACAGTTCATTTCTAGATGTGTTTTCTGCATTTATTCTTTTTCAAACATTCTTTGCCTATTCTTGGGCATGTGAAATGGTCTGGGGTATGTTCCAGAGAAACAGAACCAGTTATAGGCACAGACACACAAAGGGGAGAAGGGGGGGTGGGGATTTTTTTTTTAAGAGATTGGTTCATGTAATTGTCGAGCATAGGTTAGAGTGTCAGGCTGGAAATCCAGGTTAGAGTTAATGCTGCAATATTGAGTCTAAATTTTGCAAGGCAAAAGGTTTTCCTGTTGCTGTCTTGAGAATGCCATCTTTGGGAAACCCTGCTATAAGGCCTTTGACTGACTGGTTGAGGCACACCCATATTTTGGAAGGTGTTTCTTTATTCACAGCCCACTAATTTAAATGTTACTCACTTTTCTTTCTCTTTGCTGCTCCATGCAGCTTAAAGGATCTTAGCTCCCCAACCAGGGATTGAACCCCAGGCTCATGGCGGTGAAAGTGCAGAGTACTAACCACTGGGTCACCAGGGAATTCCCTTTAATCACATTTTTAAAATACTGTCAAAACCTCATCTAGGTTAGTATTTGACCAAACAACTGGACATCATAACCTAGCCAAATTGGCACATATACAGTTGACCTTCACAGCATGCTTTTCCAGATGAGCTGAGTGTTACATATATTTTTATGAATTTACAAGTTAAGAAGTACTGATAATTTCTTATATAGAATCTCAATTTACTAGGTTTCTGATTTTTTTTTATATTTGTTTCATTTATTCTTAGATAATTTACTCATTTTCATGTTTAGTGTTTCATTAACACTTCATGAAAGTCCAACTCTTTGCAATCCTATGGACTGTAGCCCACTAGGCTCCTCTGTCCATCGGATTCTCCAGGCAAGACTACTGGAGTTGGGTTGCCATTTCCATCTTCCCAACCTAGGGATCAAACTGGTGGCCCCTGCATTCCAGGCAGATTCTTTACTGCTGAGCCACCCAGAAAGCCCAATTGATGCTGTCAAGGGGAACTGTTGAATTTTTATGTTATCTTGTAAATTATCTTGGTTTTTCTAGTTGGTTCTCAGATTTTGTAGGCTGCTAAATTTGACTTTTCCCCTTCAACATCTAGACCTGTTTCTTTTTTTTTTTTTACTGTCTGATGGCTAGGACTTCCAGGAAAAAAAGAAAATGTTGACTAATAGCAGTGCTAGCAGTGGCATTCATATTTTGTTGTTCATTTGAATTGCAACCAATTCCTCTAGTGTTTTATCTTAAGTGGATTGATCAATGTTTGTTAGTTACATTAAGTTTAGAAAAAGGAATTTTGTGCTTTGCTTTTCACTGAAAAGGTCTATTTTAAGCTAGTCAAACAGCTGACTAGGAACAGCTTGTCTGTTTCAGCTGCTTCATAGATCTTCAGTTTCCTTAAAAGCAACAGAAATATCTTTTTAGATAGTAGGGCTCAGTTAAATTTTTTAATTGCTTCAGATGTTTTCCCAAAGCAATAGGTATGAATCGTAAAACTTTTAAGGAACATGTCTATATGTGATAAACTGCAGAGAGTTCTTTTTGTTTGTTTTTGTAGATAGTTTAAACCTAAGTTTTTTTGTTTTGTTTTTTAAATTTTATTTCTGTTTGGCTGTGCTAAGTCTTCATTACTATGCAGGCTTTTTCTAGTTGCAGCAAGTGGGGGCTACTCTCCAGTCTCCTCGTGTTGGCTTTTCTTGCTGTGGAGTATAGGCTCTAGGACATGCAGGCTGCAGTAGCTGCAGCTCTTGGGCTCTCGAGCACAGGCTTCTTAGTTGTGGCACACAGGCTTAGCTGCTTCACGGCATGTGGAATCTCCCCAGACCAGGGATCAAACCTGTGTCTCTTGCACTGGCAGGCAGTTTCCACCCCGAGCCATCGGGGACACCCTGGACCTGAGCTTTAGTTTTGGCTCCTGTCATTGACTCTACTGATGAGAGTTATTTAAATATTCACTATATACCTCTGTCAAAGAGCGATGGTAGTACCTTTTTTTTTCCCCCACTGCCTTGAGGGTTAAGTTAACCTCATGTGCATAAAGCAGCAAGGTGCCTGGGCCATGTTGGATTTCTCGATTATAATCAGAGCTTTTAATCATGTGGCCCAGAATTACGAAGAAAGAAGCAATTTAGAAATCTGTTGTCCAGTAAAGTAGAACCAGAATTTCCAGGCAGAACTGTCACAGAACAACACAAATTTAGGAGTTTGAGATTGGAAATCCATGAACAGGAAGGTCATGCCTTGAGAGAAAAGACTGCCTTATTGAATGCCAGGGACTGAGGTTAGAAAAAGACCATTGTCCACATCTAGACTCTGCTATATATAACTGTACAGTCTAGGTTATGTTTCTTGATTCAGTTCAGTTCAGTTGCTCAGTCGTGTCCAACTCTTTGCGACCCCATGAACTGCAGCGCACCAGGCCTCCCTGTCTATCATGAACTCCTGGAGTTTACCCAAACCCATGTCCATCGAGTCGATGATGCCATCCAACCATATCATCCTCTGTCGTCCCCTTCTCCTCCTGCCCTCAGTCTTTCCAATCATCAGGGTCTTTTCCAGTGAGTCAGCTCTTCACATCAGGTGGCCAAAGTATTGGGAGTTTCAGCTTCAACATCAGTCCTTCCAGTGAACACCCAGTACTGATCTCCTTTAGGATGGGCTAGTTGGACCTCCTTGCAGTCCAAGGGACTCTCAAGAGTTTTCTCCAACACCACAGTTCAAAAGCATCAATTCTTCAGCACTCAGCTTTCTTTATCATCTAACTCTCACATCCATACATGACCACTGGAAAAACCATAGCCTTGACTAGACGGACGTTTGTTGGCAAAGTAATGGCTCTGCTTTTTAATATGCTGTCTAGGTTGATCATAACTTTTCTTCCAAGGAGTAAGCGTCTTTTAATTTCATGGCTGCAATCACCATCTGCAGTGATTCTGGAGCCCAGGAAAATAAAGTCAGCCACTGTTTCCACTGTTTCCCCATCTATTTCCCATGAAGTGATGGGACCAGATGCCATGATCTTAGTTTTCTGAATGTTGAGCTTGAAGCCAACTGTTTCACTCTCCTCTTTCACTTTCATCAAGAGGCTCTTTAGTTCTTCTTCACTTTGTGCCATAAGGGTGGTGTCATCTGCATATCTGAGGTTATTAATATCAAGAAATTAATGTTTCTTAATTACCTGACCTTAGTCTCTTTGTCTATAAGAAGAGGAAACTGTATCTACATTGCATGCATCACATTGCATGTGATGAAGTATTGTGTATAATCTACCAAAACACAGTAGTGGTTGTGTAACATTGTAAGGAAAAACTCAAACAAGCTTTTGGCTTAGCCCAATACTTTGATTCCTTATTCTGAATAAATGTAATCATATTTCAAATAATGGCTCTTCTAGACATGTGATCCTGTGGAGTACACTGATTGGTTTTTGTTTCTCTTTTTGTTTTAATGGAAGTTTCTGGTAAAAGGTGAGCTGTGAAGTTTTAAGAAAGCAGCAAGGGCACAGGTAGATTTTGCAGCCTTGTCTATGCCGTTCTCTTTTTTTCATATTCTTGAGTGAGCAGAATTTATAAGTGGATGTTTATAAGATTGGATAAGATGGTCTTTCTTTTTGTACATTTTACAAAGCCGACCAAAAATGTATACCCATTTTCATGTGTGCAGTTTCTTGTCTAGGAAAATGTTTTCATAAAATCTTTCTTCTGCTAAATTAGTTATAATATAGAAAATAGAAGGGGGAAAAAAAGGAAACACTGTGTTTAGAATTGGAAGAAAAACCATTTTTAAAAGGGTCTTTTCAGAGTGGCATTTGTGTAAAAATTGTCTATGCGACAAAGTCCCTAAGAGGCATGTGGGAAGATGAAATTGTGCATCACAGCTTAGCAGAATTATAGATGATGGTGAATGTCTGTTTTTATGAAGTTTTTTTGTGCAGTGAATCACAGCTTGAATTTTAAAACAGAATATTGGCATACCTCTTGCAGAAGCTTCTTGATAGATTTGATTATGATGATGAGCCAGAAGCTGTGGAAGAATCCAAGAAAGAAGATGCTGTTGCCCCCTCGGCCACCACAACACCTGCTCCTGCCGCTGTTGTGCCCACTACGCCTGCTGCCGCCGCCGCACCTTCTGTGGCTGCACCCACTGCCTCTCCTCCACAGGCACCCTTGTACGTCTCATTCTTACAATTCCTCAGCAGATAGAACTTTGGTAGTCATTACAAGGCATAATGCAATAACACTTAATAACAGTCATTTTTCATATAGCGTCTTCTAAAATTCTTTTTAAAAGTGTGGTATTTGGGGTTTTCTTCTGAATGGAGAGGGGATCCTGTCCTATTTACAATAAAAAATGACTTTTACTTTGGAAATAATGCTGAGTTTTTAAGTTAATGTAGGCAAATAAGTAAATGATTCAGTAAAATGTTGATTGTTAACAACTCCTGAACAGCATTCTGTAAGTTTCTGTAGTGTAAATGTGGCCAAGAATGATGTGTTTTTGAATGGGTAAAAAGTGACTGCTCATCTCTTTTAGTGGGTTTCCTGGAGATGGCATGCCACAACCAGCATATACGCAACATCAGAACATGGATCAGTTCCCGCCTCGAATGATGGCAGTGCAGCAGGATCCAGTGCACCATCAGGTGGAGGTTTTTCTAATTACTGAAGATGTGTTCATTAGCGCATCTGGGTTGCACTTCCCAGGGTAGTAGTGGTTAGTTGTGTGGGTGGCCGAATAGTCCTCAAGCTGCACTGAAAGCTGTCGAGCACATAACTGATTTGAGATGCTTTTTTGCTTTAATTAAAACAAGGATGCTAAATATTCATGTTAATAATTTAATCAGTATTTTTATTTAAATAGTTTAGAGGGAGATTGTTGGTTCTATTTTAAGGAACTGACCTGTTTTGTTATACAGCTTTTCCCCTTTTGAGAAGCCTTCCCCTCTCCCCTTTTATTTATTTATTTATTTTTGCAGTACACTGTGTTATGCAGGATCTTAGTTCCCCAGCCATGGGTTGAACCTGTGCTGCCTGCATTGAGAGCACAGAGTCTTAACCACTGGACTGCCAGGGAAGTCTCCCTTTTTTCTTTATTAATGTTGTGTGACTTGTTGCTTTAGAGGGCTTTCAGCTCTTCAGCATTCAGGAATATAGTTTGAAATCTGCAGTATAAGAAGGACATCATACTGGAGAATTTCAGGAAGTTAGACTAAGTTTGTTTGTTGGATTTATTTTAATAAATCCTCTAATTCAGAGTTTTCTAAACTTGACTGTACATCTCAATTGGAGGAACATACTAAAAAATACATATCCTAGACTTCTGGTGCTATAGTCAATCTTAGAGAATCTTTATTTTATTTTTTTTTCCATTTATTTTTATTAGTTGGAGGCTAATTACTTTACAATATTGTAGTGGTTTTTGTCATACATTGACATGAATCAGCCATGGATCTACATGTGTTCCCCATCCCGATCCCCCTCCCGCCTCCCTCTCCATCCCATCTCTCTGGGTCTTCCCAGTGCACCAGCCCTGGGCACTTGTCTCATGCATCCAACCTGGGCTGGTGATCTGTTTCACCCTTGATAGTATACTTGTTTCGATGCTGTTCTCTCTGAACATCCCACCCTCGCCTTCACAGAGTCTAAAAGTCTGTTCTGTACATCTGTGTCTCTTTTTCTGTTTTGCATATAGGGTTATGGTTACCATCTTTCTAAATTCCATATATATGCATTTGTATACTGTATTGGTCTTTATCTTTCTGGCTTACTTCACTCCATATAATGGGCTTCAGTTTCATCCATCTCATTAGAACTGATTCAAATGAATTCTTTTTAATAGCTGAGTAATATTCCATGGTGTATATGTACCACAGCTTCCTTATCCATTCGTCTGCTGATGGGCATCTAGGTTGCTTCCATGTCCTGGCTATTATAAACAGTGCTGCGATGAACATTGGGGTACACGTGTCTCTTTCAGATCTGGTTTCCTTGGTGTGTATGCCCAGTACTGGGATTGCTGGGTCACATGGCAGTTCTATTTCCAGTTTTTTAAGGAATTCCACACTGTTCTCCATAGTGGCTGTGTTAGTTTGCATTCCCACCAACAGTGTAAGAGGGTGCCCTTTTCTCCACACCCTCTCCAGCATTTGTTGCTTGTAGACTTTTGGATAGCAGCTATTTATTTTAATTATGTGACGATTCTGTTGTACAGCCAGCCTTTGGAAAATGCTCCTTTATAGACTTATTTAGAAAGTGTTCTAAGAAACCTTTTAGAATATATTCATTTTCTTATCTGTATCATGTTCAATTCAGGCATACCTTGTTTTTTTTATTTTTCACAGATCTTGCACTTTTTTTGTTTTTGTTTTTTTTTTAAACAAATTGAAGGTTTATGGCAACCATGGGTTGTCAAATGATTATTGGCATCTTTTTTAGCAAGATAGTATTTTTTAGTTAAAGCATATACATTGTTTTATTTGGATATATGGCACACTTACTGAACTGCAGTAAGTGTGAGCATAAGTTTTATATGCTTTGGAATACCAAAATATTCATGTGGCTCACTTTATTGCAGTATTTACTTTATTTCAGTGGTCTGGAATCAAATCTATCATATTTTGAGATATGCCTGTATTTGGTCATATGAAATTGACACTGTGATTTAGTGACCTGATCAGTTCAGTTCAATCGCTCAGTCGTGTCCAACTCTTTGTGACCCCATGGACTGCAGCACTCCAGGCCTCCCTGTCCATCATCAAGTCTGAAGTTTACCCAGACTCATGTCCATTGAGTCGGTGGTGCCATCCAACCATCTCATCCTTTGTCATCCCCTTTTTTTCCTGCCTTCAATCTTTCCCAACATCAGGGTCTTTACAGTTGAGTCAGCTCTTCGCATCAGGTGGCCAAAGTATTGGAGTTTCAGCTTCAACATCAGTCCTTCCAGTGAACACTCAGTACTGATCTCCTTTAGGATGGGCTAGTTGGACCTCCTTGCAGATCAAGGGACTCTCGAGAGTCTTCTCCAACACCACAGTTCAAAAGCATCAATTCTTTGGCAGTTAGCTTTCTTCATAGTCCAACTCTCACATCCATACATGACCACTGGAAAAACCATAGCCTTGACTAGACGGACCTTCTTTTGTTGGCAAAGTAATGTCTCTGCTTTTTTAATATGCTGTCTATGTTGGTCATAACTTTCCTTCCAAGGAGTAAGCGTCTTTTAATTTCATGGCTGCAGTCACCATCTGCAGTGATTCTGGAGCCCAAGAAAATAAAGTCAGCCACTGTTTCCCCATCTATTTCCCATGAAGTGATGGGACTGGATGCCATGATCTTAGTTTTCTGAATGTTGAGTCTTAAGCCAACTGTTTCACTCTCCTCTTTCACTTTCATCAAGAGGCTCTTTAGTTCTTCTTCACTTTGTGCCATAAGGGTGGTATCATCTGCATATCTGGGGTTATTGATATTTCTGCCAGCAATCTGGATCTAGCTTGTGCTTCCTCCAGCCCAGCATGTCTCATGATGTACTCTGCATATAAGTTAAATAAGTACGGTTACAATATACAGCCTTGACATACTCCTTTCCCTATTTGGAACCAGTCTGTTGTTCCATGTCCAGTTCTAACTGTTGCTTCCTGACCTGCATACAGATTTCTCAGGAGGCAGATAAGGTGGTCTGATATTCCCATCACTTTCAGAATTTTCCACAGTTTATTGTGATCCACATAGTCAAAGGTTCTGGCATAGTCAATAAAGCAGAAATAGATGTTTTTCTAGAACTCTCTTGCTTTTTCGATGATCCAGCGGATGTTGGCAATTTGATCTCTGGTTCCTCTGCCTTTTCTAAAAGCAGCTTGAACATCTGGAAGTTCACGGTTCACGTATTGCTAAAGCTTGGCTTGGAGAATTTTGAGCATTACTTTACTAGTGTGTGAGATGGGTGCAGTTGTGCAGTAGTTTGAGCATTCTTTGGCATTACCTTTCTTTGGGATTGGAATAAAAACTGACCTTTTCCAATCCTGTGGCCACTGCTGAGTTTTCCAAATTTGCTGGCATATTGAGTGCAGCACTTTGACATTATCATCTTTCAGGATTTGAAATAGCTCAACTGGAATTCTATCACCTCCACTAGCTTTGTTTGTGGTGATGCTTTCTAAGGCCCACTTGACTTCACATTCCAGGATGTCTGGCTTTAGGTGAGTGATCACACTATCGTGATTATCTGGGTCATGAAGATCTTTTTTGTACAGTTCTTCTGTGTATTCTTGCCACCTCTTCTTAATATTCTCTGCTTCTGTTAGGTCCATACCATTTCTGTCCTTTATTGAGCGCATCTTTGCATGAAATACTCCCTTGGTACCTCTTAATTTTCTTGAAGAGATCTCTGTTCTTTCCCATTCTATTGTTTTCCTCTATTTGCACTGATCACTGAGGAAGGCTTTCTTATCTCTCCTTGCTGTTCTTTGGAACTCTATATTCAGATGGGTATATCTTTCCTTTTCTCCTTTGCTTTTCGCTTGCTTTTTTTTTCACAGCTATTTGTAAGGCCTCCTTAGACAGCCATTTTGCTTTTTTGCGTTTCTTTTTCTTGGGGATGGTCTTGCTCCCTGTCTGCTGTACAATGTCATGAACCTGCGTCCATAGTTCATCAGGTACTTTGTCTATCAGATCTAGTCCCTTAAATCTATTTCTCACTTCCACTGTATAATCATTAGGGATTGATTTAGGTCATACCTGAATGGTCTAGTGGTTTTCCCTACTTTCTTCAATTTAAGTCTGAATTTGGCAATAGAGGAGTTCATGATCTGAGCCACAGTCAGGTCCCGGTCTTGTTTTTGCTGACTTCATCTCCTCCATCTTTGGCTGCAAAGAATATGATCAATCTGATTTTGGTGTTGACCATCTGGTGATGTCCATGTGTAGAATCTTCTCTTGTTTTGTTGGAAGAGGGTGTTTGCTATGACCAGTGCGTTCTCTTGGCAGAACTATGACTTGTGGATGGATGAAATTAAAGAAATATTTTATCAGCCTGTTTAAAAATACAGGTGAAACCTCTGAACTTAATTCCAAATGTTTAACAGTTATTGATAGTTTATTAATAATTTAGAAAGATTGCTTTTTTTATATTATAGTGACATTACAATTATACTTTCTATTAGCATAAGAATGTTACGTGTATAAAATTGTTAGACTGTGACATAATACTCTCATTATTATGATATTTCAAACCCTAAATATATTCAGTCTGTAGGCATGTTGGCTGAAACTCCCCTTGGAGTAAAATTTTTAACACAAACTTACAAGTCAGTGCTTCTAAACACTTTTCCTCCCCTAAAGCTTAATTGCCTTTAAAGTTGGAGAGAAAATTTGCAGTAGAGTACCTCTGAGTTTAAGTTAAGTCTGTCACTTTGCCTCCTCATATAAATGAAGGTATGTTTTTAAATTATAAAACCTGACATGTGTGTCAATTTTAAAATGAGTTGTAGGATTTTTAAGCTGTATTCTTTGATATAAGCAATTTTTTTGAATAATAATTGTATATGTAGAAATTGTCGGTCATGGTTGAATGTCATAGTTTTTCCTTGATTAAAATTTATTGAAGATGTTTTAGTTTTATATAAAGTTAACTAAAATTTTTTAAAAATTATTTTTGGTAGCAGTTACTTAAAATCTACTCATGCAAGTGTTTTTTGTTTTTTTTTTTAAACAAACAAGGTTCCACTTCCTCCTAATGGACAGATGCCAGGCTTTGGCCTTCTTCCTACACCTCCGTTTCCTCCCATGGCTCAGCCCGTGATTCCTCCAACTCCACCTGTGCAGCAGCCCTTCCAAACTTCCTTTCAGGCACAAAATGAGCCACTTACACAGAAGGCACATCAGGTAAAGCTTCCTTCTCCGGTTGCTGATTATTTTTTTGGTTCCCTTGATTTATAAGCGGATTCCTGCCTGTTTGTTGGCTTTCTATCTTCAGTTTTGAATATGAAGAAAGGCTATTAACTTTGGGCACATATTCACCTTCTCTGTGACCTAACTTTTTCATTTGAGAAGTGGACATAATAATACTATAAATTTTCATAGGGTTCATGAGGATTGACAGAGAACATGGAATGCTTAAACGGTGTCTAATTCACTGCTTTAGGTGATCGTTTGTTAACACAGTATGTTAACTTTCACAAAATAATTTCCATAAGTAGATAAGTATTTCTTCTAAGTTTGTGAACCATATGAAAAAACTTTTCCCGCTCATGCCCAGTCATCATTAGGCTAGTAATTAGGTTTCAAGTAATCAAGAGAGAACTTTCTGAGAGATTTGTAATTTAGCATTTTGTAAGTTTTTGGACTTTTTTTTTTTTTCTATTTATAGTTTCCTTTTTCTCCTTTAATGATGGGTTTTATATTTTGCTTTTCTTTTTAAAGGAAATGGAAGTAGAACAACCTTGTATTCAAGAGGCTAAGCGGCACATATCTGATCACAGAAAGTCAAGATCTAGATCGGCATCCAGGTAGCTTATAGAAAATGTTAATCGAGATGTGCATGTTTTAAGAGACTTAGTAAATCAAGTTGGATTGTTTTCAGATGTATGGGATTAATGAAATAACACTTGGTATGTTTGTATGTATGAGTGGAATGGAGGCAGGAGACATATTAATTTAAAGAAACTGAGTCCTCTTAACCAGTATTTTTTCCCTCTGAGTTTCTCTAATGCCTGTTTACAGATATGCATGGAATTGTAAGATTTATGTATTCAAAGTTCCTTTACCAATTGATCAAGCAAAAAAAAATAGGTGGAAAGAAATTAAGGAATACTATAATCAGATCACATATTTTTAATTGCTACAGAAAAAAAGACTTTTCTGAGAAGATAGAGAATAGCAATCACCAGTATATCTCTGTGATGACATTAGCTTTTTCATTACAAAGATGTCATTTAAAATAGTACTAGAGGTATCAAAGATGAGAGATACTTCTATAAGTTAGCAAACTTGTTTATAATGTATATGTGCTTTCTAACTTAGAGCATCTTAAAAATCCTTAAAATGAATTCCCTACTGTCCAGTTCTTACACATCTTACAAATTCTTACATATCTTACATTAAATTACCTAGTTGTATTTTTTCTTCTTCCCATTAACACATGCTGAAGTTTTATTTCCATATATTAATCCATTCTCCCTTGTCCTGAAAATATTAGGTCACCAAAAAGGAGACGATCTCGATCTGGTTCTAGATCTCGAAGGTCTCGTCATCGACGTTCTCGATCTCGGTCCAGAGATAGACGCCGACATTCTCCTCGGTCTCGATCCCAAGAAAGACGGGATCGAGAAAAGGAAAGAGAGCGCCGGCAAAAAGGCCTTCCTCAGATCAAAGCGGAAACTGCGAGTGGTAAGTGAACATTTATAATCACATTTCCTGCATTTTTTTTTTTCATGTCATGAGTTTTAAATGCTTTGTAACCAGTTAGCAAAATACTGCTTTATTGTGTCTTATCTGTGCTTTGACGTATACCTTTAGATTTGCTTTTGTACCTGTAGCTGACTGTAAAGCAGCAGTGAAGAGTGAGCCAAGCTAACAGTGATGAGTAATAGTGTGTCTTGAATCAAATGCATGAAATAGAGTTGTTGGCTAGTTCTGCACACTGAGGAAAGGTGGAGGTTCCCCTCCAGAATAACTGATACGCTCTTACTTTATAAAGACACACAGTTTATAGGGTGTGTCAGCTTGCACTGTCTCCTGAATTTCATGATGTTTAGAATATGTTTAATAAGGTATAGTAGATGTTCTTGATACGACTCTATAGCTGTTAATGAAATTTTAGTTGATAATATGACTTGGGCATATATAAAACTTCTGACCCCGCAGGGCTTATTATGTAGGACACAGCATGAAACAAAAATCATTACACTCGACAGTTGAAAAGGCACAGCTACTTACAGTGAACAAAAGCACTGAATTGGTTGGTGATCAAGGTCATTGGGATCAAGGCTTTAGCTCCTTTGCTCATTTGCCAAGGGCGATCTCAGGCACAGTGCTGCCTCTCTGACTCTAGTTTACAGAGATGAAATCTTCAGATGTGTCTTCAAAAGACCAGTGTCTTCCCACCTCATTGGTTTACCTTTCACTATCCTGGTTCCACTTCTAGAAGTAATGCCGTAATTTTCTAGAATTTTTAAAACTCTTTGGGCTTTCCGGGTGGCTCAGTGGTAAAGAATCTGCCTGTAGTTTCAGGAGACACAGGAGACCTGGGGGAGGAAATGGCAACCCACTCCAGTATTCCTGCCTGGGAAATTCCATGGAGCCTGGCGGGCTGTAGTCCATGGGATTGAGAAGAATTGTACAGGACTGAGTGGTTGAGTGCTTTATGCTTAACTCGTGGATATCATAATGTAACTCAGGCATGTTTTCTGTAATAATTTTTTTCATGTAAAGTACAGAGCTGCTCCTTATGGAATGTGTATACTTTTGTGATTATAATTTTATTTTTAGTTTGTAGTACTACACTCTGGGTGGGACAGCTGGACAAAAGGACTACTCAGCAGGATGTTGCCAGTCTTTTAGAAGAGTTTGGTCCAATTGAATCAATTAACGTGAGTATTTATTAAATTTCTTAACAACAGTAGACAGAAGTGGTCAGTGTTATTTTGCGAAATTAAGGACTTGAGACCTAAGTTAAAATTGGTCTAGGTTTGTAGAAGATGTGGCTGGAGTTGAGGTGTTCTAAGTTTTTGTTTAGCATTTAACTAGGTTTTTTGGATAACCAACTTTAATCTAAAATCTTTTTCTAAAAATGACTTTATATAACAAAGCTTGGGACTGTAGATTGTTGATTGGCAGTTGAGACTAAACTGGAACCACCAATTTTCAAATTTTTTTAAATCTCCAGTTATAGAACACAGGGTCTGGAGGGTGCAAGGGGTTGGGGTTGTTGGAACTGACTGCTTAATATTGTATCTTGTTACTTTTTGGTTTTGTTATTATATTTTATAATATGAAAATATTTTGGAGCAGATGATCCCTCCCAGAGGTTGTGCCTATATTGTTATGGTTCATAGGCAAGACGCTTACCGTGCCCTGCAGAAACTCAGCCGAGGGAACTACAAAGTGAACCAGAAATCCATAAAGGTACTGTTTCACCACTCATCGCTCATTTCATTTCTGACGTGACGCATGAGACTTAAAAACTGTCACACGTGCATCTTTTATTACAGAACTTATCTCCTAAGAGTTAACATGAAATTTTAAATGCTAGGTATATGGTAGAATTTTGTCCTTTTTTTTTTAAGGGCAGGTAGCTGCATGAAAGTATTTAATTGGTGTTTCACATATATATAATGTTATTTTGTAAAATATTTTATTTGTTATCCAAAAAATGTTGTAATTTTCACATTTTAATTTTAAAGATTGCCATCTCAGAACTAATTAAGAAAAATAATCACTGAAGATAGAGGGAAAGATATAGGTGCATGGGTGTTCTTCCTCTGAGGGGCCAGACTCAGTGTTTCCTTAAAGTCCCAATACCTGCTGTCCTACCCTTGGATTTCACCGCAAAAGGATTTTGTCTAATGTTGAGTAATTCTGATGTACCCAAGACTTTTTAAAGTGTTCCCTGCTTTCTTATGCCCAGTCAGCCTGTCCCTGATAAACGTTTCCCTTTTCTCTTAGTTTTATGCTCTCTGGGTTAGTGGGTGGGGGTGATTGGAAGAGTGAGAAAGGTCATTGACAGTCAGATTTCCTTCTAGGAGAAACAAGAGTGGGATGAAAGGGTAACCAGATTCCTAGCACCAAAGATATTTTGAGTGAGTCCCACGGGTAGCCAAGCCAGATTGTTCCCTTGCTGACCAAGTCTGAGTGATTGGAATCATGGGAAACAGCTCTCAGTTTATGACATTCTTCTTCCTTTTTATATTTTAACAAATGTTGAACTAGATTGCCTGGGCCCTAAACAAAGGAATAAAGGCAGATTATAAGCAGTATTGGGATGTAGAACTTGGTGTTACTTATATTCCATGGGACAAAGTCAAGCCTGAAGAACTGGAGAGTTTCTGTGAAGGAGGAATGTTGGACAGTGATACACTTAATCCAGGTAAAGTAGTATTTAATTTTTTTTGTTAATATATTTATTTCCTTGGTAGTACTATGACAAATGTTTATTCTTTGCCTTAGGAACTGTTTTTTGAGATTTTTCAAATACCCACTATGTGGGTGCTAGTCTCTCCATTATAAACTAAGGGAACAGTGGTGATTAAGACAAATGTGGCCTTTGCCCTTATGCAACTTATATTTAGTGGGAGAGATGCAGACGCAGATAATTGCTGATTGTGGGGTTCATTATTCTTTATAATATTAAGTGGATCTTAAGTAGACTTTTTCAGTATAAAAACCTAACAGATCAGAGGAGTCTTAAACTGAACATTGTTAGTAAGATCCACTGTTGCATAATAATTTCTTTGAAAATGTTTAGCTATCCAGAGAAGACATCAAAAGTAAACATGTAAAATGAGGAGATGCAGTTATTTGTAGCCTGGATATTAAAAATGCCAGATTGATAGTGGAATTTTCCTTGGGGAAAATGCCAGCTTGTGGGGACATGACCTGGAGAATGATAGACAGCAGGGCAAAGGAGAGCCCAGGATGGCATGGCAAAACAGAGTAGATATTTCAGACATTGAAGAACTTCAGTCAGGAGTGCTGAGCTGGGCTTTCCCCGTACACCAGCACAGCAGCTTCACTTAGGGACGGAGCAACAGTTCGTTCAGGCAGACAGGTGCTGCAGGTCTGCTGGGCGTCTCTGGTCCAGAGCTCTGCTTCTCCCCCAGGGTCTCTGATCCAGAGACCTCCCCCTCCACCATTGTGGTTAAGGACAGACACTCAAGAGCCAAGAGTGTCTGGGTTGGATCCTGTCTCTGCCTCCACCAAGTGTGTGTGACTTGGTGTTCCTCTCATAAGACAGGAGTAATAAAAAATAGAACTGTTACATATGTGTATATATGTATGTATGCAACAGAGGCTTACATTTTCTATAATTTTATACCAAGGTTACATTTTCAGTTTATAATTCTAAACCCAGAAAAAAATTTTTTTTAATGTTGATGATATTAAAGTCAGAGAGCTTTCTGATTACATTTCTTTAACTCTTCATAGATTGGAAGGGAATTCCCAAGAAGCATGAAAATGAAGTTGCTCAAAATGGAGGAACCGAAACCTCACACACAGAAGCGGTGTCACCCATCCCTAAACCTCTGCCCGTGCCTGTCCCTCCCATCCCTGTGCCCGCGCCGATAACAGTGCCACCTCCACAGGTGCGGCTGTCTGACAGACCCCCGTCTAAGTCTCACTGTTGCTATGTGTCTAGATTCATAGTCAGAAGCTGTGAGTACATAGATGTGCATACTGATTTTCTTATGTGTTGGTATGTTAGACCTAATATTTATAAATGCTTTCAAAAACCAGGGTACATTTCATTTTGCCTTACATCTGCCCAGATTACTCAGTATCGTATTACCTCATAAACTTTTTGACTTGAAATGTGATTTTCCTGCTACATGTTAAGTAACTAATGTGTTGGGAAGAATTAGAAGTACTTGATCCATACTTTGATGTGTGATCCACTAGATTTTTCTTTTCTTTCAGTACCTTCTTTCCTCAGTTTCTCATATTAAAACTGAATCAGATAAATCTGAGCTATCTCGGGGCTGGGTTGCCTAGCTACTTGATTTTTCTCAGTGTTAGGAGAAAAGTACATGCTTTGGTACATTCTTAGCTGTGATATTTTATAAATGGATTCCCCAAGCTGGCACTCTGTACACAACCTTTTGGATATGACCCTCCAGTGCAGGTTTCAGTGTATGTCAGCACTCCTTTAAAGAAACTTGACTAATCTGTTAAGATTGATACTTTTTTTTTTTTAAGCAATAACTAAAGTGTTGGGTATGTATTAAATGCCAGGCAGTAGCATTCAACATTTATTTATTCTCTAGTCTCCATAATTACGTGAGTCGGCACTTTTCCATCTTATAGATGAGTAAATTGAGGTCTGGGGAGTGTAATGTAAGTCGCTTTCTCAGGGTCACAAAATGACTTAAAAAGGGGGACAGGCAGTTTGACCCCAGGAACTGTGATCTTAATCACAGTTAAAGTGCAAATTACGTGGTAGCTTTTCTTAGAGTTGTATTCCTCAAACTTAATTGACCTGACCGTGAGACGTTTTTTAACATTATTATTCTGGAAGAACACCAATATAGGTGATGGTGAATCACAATGTGGTATTTGCTTTGATAAGTAGAGGGCAAACTGTGATTTCTGGAAATTCCTTGGTGGCTCCGTGGTTAGAACTCTATGCTTCCACTGCAAAATTGCAGCTTCGATCCCTGGTGGGGGAACTAAGATCCTGCAAGCCACGGGGAGCAAGCAGCCCAGAATTTTTAGAAGGGGGGAATAATATGTATTTTCCATTGTTTTGGAGTAGGTACAGATTACCACATGTTATCTAATAAGTGTATTCACATAATAAGCACAATTTAGAGATACTGGTTTTTTTCAGCAAGGTATTTTCTTTGTCTCTATCCACTGTCTGAGTGAGAGGGTGGCCAGATACGTGGCTTCATTTTCCTTTCTTTCTTTCTAGGTCCCTCCACATCAGCCAGGACCTCCTGTAGTTGGTGCTCTCCAGCCACCTGCTTTCACGCCTCCTTTGGGAATTCCACCTCCAGGCTTTGGTCCTGGCGTTCCTCCTCCTCCACCTCCGCCACCGTTTTTGCGCCCAGGATTCAACCCAATGCATTTGCCACCAGGTACACTAAGTTATTTGAGAAGATACTCTTTTTTAAGAGCCTGAAATAAAGTGACATAACTTAAGTTGGCATTGTTTTTCTTATTCTAGGTTTTCTTCCTCCTGGACCCCCTCCTCCTATAACTCCACCAGTATCCATTCCTCCTCCTCACACTCCACCAATAAGCATCCCAAACTGTAAGCATGTTTTTCCTTTGTGTCCACTTGTCCTCTTGGAGTTGGGAGTAGGAGGGAGAATGGACCAGTAATAGGATCTGTAGTATGGCAAAAGAATGTTAACCGGGGTGATAATTAATTATTCAGCTTCACATGTTGATGTAATTATATTCCTTAGCTACTATCGCTGGTATAAATGAAGACACTACAAAAGACTTATCTATTGGAAATCCCATTCCAACAGTGGTGTCTGGGGCTAGAGGAAACGCCGAGTCTGGTGACAGTGTGAAAATGTATGGCTCTGCTGTGCCACCTGCTGCACCCACGAATCTGCCTACCCCTCCTGTAACCCAGCCTGTTTCACTTCTTGGTAAGTTCATTTTTTTATCATTAGTTTTCTTTCCCCTGCCCAAGTTAGGCTTTTTAGAAACAGTGTTAATTTTGGTAAATTATTCTCTGAGGCTGTTTTCCTTGGAGGAAGATCTTTCTTTTAAATATGTGTACATGGTCTTCACCAAGCCTAGCCTTACGAGACAGCCTCAAAAGTGAAATCATGTTTGTTTCTCTGTCCTGAATAAAAGTTTGGATTTGCACATCTTAATTTGGTATAGAAAAGTGGTCAGACTAATCTCTATGAAAAGGAATTGGTACATAGTCCATGATTAACAAAACCCCAGACATCCTTGCATAATAAGATAGACTTTTTTTAAGCAACATAAGTTTTTTTTCCTAGCTGGATTAATTTTTATATATTTAAAATTCCTGGACTTTGATAGCATTCTCTGTAGGCTGGCAAAGAGACTGCCTTTGATATATTGCAATAAAATGGCTTTGTTACCTGAGTGATAGTTGCACGGCTTCAGGCAGTGCTTTTCCACTGACCCCTCAGTTTCTCTTATAAAACTTAACCTGTTGTATTCTTTACCCACAACTCAACTTCTAAGATCCAAGGAAGTGTGGCTTAGATTGTTCACATCTTTAAGAGGCCTTACCCTTGCTTGCTTGAATTTAAATGAATATGCCATATACTTGTTACAGTGATCACCCTATAACAAATTATTATATTTGAAGTGGTATTGCTGACTATAATTAACACTTGATTCTGATAATGGGTAGTTAATTTATCCTTACTATTGTAATGTTTAAATCCTGTGAACCCATTGTATTTTTTAAAGGTGTGTGTTTGTGCACAAATGTTTGTTTTCCTAATCTTAGATTTTTTTAAGGAAAGAGCCCTATACTCCTGGGATATAGGGCTGTGGGACATTGGTTTGTGATGTAGGACTTTTACTTTTCACCTGCAGTTTTCAGGACTGTTGGAAGTTTTACTTTGTTGCGTGTACTACATTTATAATAAAAATTAATTTGTTTTTAAATGGCATGCTGTCTTCTGCCCTCTCCAAGACTGAGGTTAGGCTAATAATAAACTTGAATTTTATTTATTTTAGTACACAGACTGGGTAATAGTAAAAGAGAATTTATGGTTAAAATTTGTCACAAATAAGGTAGCAGTAGTCATTGTAATGATGCAGAATGATTTGTTTGATGGGGAAGTTGCCTAAGAGGTCTGTGCCCTGATGGAAGTCACAGTAGAAGGAACAGTAGTAGGCTGGGAGCCAGGAAACCTCAGTATCTTTGGATCTCAGTTTAGTTACAACCCCCCCTCCCCCCAATATTTGAAATAAGATGATTATATAAGAATCACAGTGGATCTAAGTTGGGTAGGATTTTCTGATCACCCTCTTTCCTTCACCCCACACCCATGTCCCTGATTACGAATTCTCTTTTGAAATGAAATTTCCTACTCTGGTGTCCATGGATATTAGGCCACCTGAGACTGTTTGCTTACATTTGTGCTTTTTTCTGGGTTTATTAAATTCATTAATTTTGATAACCACTACTTCTGAACAACCTTCAAGAATAAATAACCCTGGGAGTTCCCCTGGTGGCCTAATGGTTAGGATTCTAGGCTTTCACTGCTGTGGCTTAGGTTCAGTCCCTGGGCTGGGAACCAAGATCCCACAAGCCACATGGCACAGCCAAAAACAAACAAGAATAAACAACCTGCCTTTTATTTAACGTTAAGACTTTGGAAACTGCCCTTAATTTCTCATCACTACTGAAATGTGTAATTTAAACTCTCAGCCAACATGTGAAACAAAACAAATCAAAAGCTAGTCAGTGCTAGAAAAATAATCAAATCTCTTAGCATTTTTTGTTATGTAACGTACCTGCTTAGATGTCCATCTCCTCCCACCCACCAGACTGGACGCTCCATGAGAGAGGAACATTTATTATGTAAGTGGTTGGATGGACGCTTTTCAATGTAGGGCTGTTTATAATTCACCTCTGATGATGATCTTTGTCCTTAACTTTTAAAACAAAATTTAGGAAATGAAGGTTGGTCCAGATCTGGAAAGGTTAAAGTCTGATATAAAAATAAGAACAGTTTTGTTAAAATAAGCACTTTTAAGTAAAATGCGGTAGTTTTGTTTGAATCATGAAAAAAATAGACTTCTGTTTCCCTTCAATTAGAATCTTGAAAAGAGTATCCCATGAATTTAGACCTTTTATAGAAATGAGACTTTTTAATGTAATGCAAATAAAGGAGGATTTATCACAAAAAAACTGATCACAATTCCATCATTTTGATAAAGGAATATAGTAATCACATGCAGTATTGTAGTACTAAAGGATCAGTAAGTAGTTTGGATATTGTTGATGTCAACCACGAAACGGAAGACTAGAACTAAGATGCTTTCATGTTTTCTCTTGGTGCTCTAATGTTTTCTCTTACGATAAAAAAAGCAACATTACACTATACAGAAAATTTTAAGCCTAGGAGGTGATACTAAACTTCAGCTTCTTCATCTGTGAGAAAAGAAATAAAAATGTTAAACCAGGGTGTTGGGATGATTCAGTTGGACTAACATAAACGTATATAAACAGCTGACATGGGGCCTGTCACAAAGTAGGCACTCAGTGAATGGTGGGTGCTTATTACAGGTAAGAAATACCATAGACAATATTTAGAATAAAGAAGAGTATTTATACTTGGAAATTCTAAAATTATATTACTTTAGCTATAATTTATTTTAAATTGTTCTAATTGTCAGCAGTAGAAGTAGCTTTTTCAGGAAAGTATATCTTGGCATGGTTGCCTCAGATATTTTACAGTATATTAAACCAGGTGATAAGTTCACATATATAGAAGTTCCATCATGGCTTAATGAGAAAATGTGTATTAGTTATATAATAGTGGCATTTCATTTAAATAGCATGATATGGTATCTGTATTTTTCCTATTAGTGATACTCAAATTATTTTCTTATGATGAAAGGTAAATATATCCTTGAGAGTTACTGAGCTCTTGGACCTTAATATCTGAAATGTGGCATTGATATTTTTAAACTAGAGGGGCCAATAAAATGTTCAACAGATCTCCCAAAATTCTGTTGTGGGCCTTGGTTATGAAGGAGACAGTGGGGTGCTTTAAGGATGGTTTGGTTTAAAGAGTTTTCTGAATGATCAGACTTAAGTGTAGGTGTTAGTTTGGAAGTGATGACTATCTGTTTCTGGAATTGGGCTGAGGTAGCCCACACCACCAGATTTGTAGAGAACCACCTCCATCTTTTAGAGATTTTTATTGTTTTAGTAACTGACAATCTGAAAACATAAAAACTATTTGATGCACAATAATAACTCATTACTTGATTTTAAAGGAATCTGTGCTTAATACCTCACACTCCCAAATAGCTAGCTAGAGCAGTGGTCATTTCATTAAAGTTAATAGTTTACAGTTGTTGACCATTTAGAAGAGAAGAAATATTAAAGATGATAGCAATTCAGTACATTCTCTTTACTGTATAAGTGTATGTATTTATTACTTTTCCAAACTTATGTATAACATGTATCTCTAATACAATGTGTACAACATATTCTTATTTAAAATTTCATTGTAATGTGAAATTTGGGTTACTTTGGTGTTCCAAACAATAAAAAAATACACAAAAAAAATGTTTGTTTGTGTTACATATCTATTGTGTTACCAGCATATCCAAAATATCTTTTCAAGGAAGAAATTAAGCTAAGTCAGACTCATTCCTGTTGTGGAAAATTAAAGTCTCTTTTCTTATCAGGTACATACATTCATTAACTATTATTATACAGAGATTCTCCCCAGTTTTGTCACAGTGCTATAAATGATGGTAAACTTTATAATTAAGAATTGGGTATGTGTATGGTTGCTTCTTATATTTGTTACCAAAGATTTCAAGCACAAGTCACAGATCAGTAGCCTACAAGCTAAATTGCTAGACAGTAGTGATGTATTTTGTGCTTGATTTTTCACACTTCCTTGCCTGGCATTTGATGTCCCAAAATTTGAACACGTCAAGAATTCTGTAGACCAAATTGGTTTGTAAATTAAACAGGTATATTTGCTTTTATGCACTAGCTGTGACCTTAATACTGTCTTGAAGATGAATAATTTTATTGTCAAGTTCTGTAATTCCACTTGATTCTTGAACAGTGCTGGGATTAGGGGCTTCAACTCCCATGCAGTTGAAAATCCACTTTTAATTTTATAGTTGGCCCTCAGTAGCCGAGGTCCCACATCTGTAGATTCAACCAACTACATACCCTGTAGTACGTATTTACTGGGAAAGCAGTCATGTATAAGTGGGTCTGTACAGTTCAAATCTGTGTTTTTCAAGGGTCAACTTTACTTTAAAATTGATACTTTGAGTTGTGATTTCACTTAGTTTTAGAGTTTTCTCCTCAGAATTTTGATTTTTGTGTCATTTTTAATATTTTAAATTAGAACATTAGAGCACCAATCTACTAGTGTGAATAACATTTAAAGGAATCCTGAAGAAAACTCAATTTTTTTTTAAATGGTAATGTCTAATTTTTAGAACACTTTTTGCATTTTAATTTTTTTCTTATTTTAGACTTGGTTATGATGTTGGTTATATTAAATTATAACCTAGAGGGGTCTACCAAATGTTCCTTTGTCCTATAAAAGTATTCTTTGAAAGCTTTAAAATATTTGAATTGGTACTGTAAATATTGCATTTTATTATTCCATTACTTAGAAATGCTTCCAAAATATTCATCACAGTGCTTCTTTCAACTTTGTATAAAAAACATTGTTCAAGGAATGATTAATAGTGATCAATCCACAACAAATACTTACTTTGGGTATGAATTTATACATGAATGTACTATATTTTCTCAGAAGGTGAAGCACTTCAAACAAAACCTTGGGAAAGTCTTGCACAAAAACATGAAAGGTGCTTATCACATTGTCTCCATCTCTGTCTGCACCTTCTACGCTGCAGGACTCCAGCCTAAAGAGTCTCTCTTTAA